CACACACACACCCACACACACATACAAACACACACCCACACACACATACAAACACACGTGCACGAGTAAACAGCCTAAAGCCTCAAACTGAAAACTCGTTTATCACACGTTTTAAATCTGCACCTGAATCTCACACATTCATATGACTTCCGGAAACGTTCTTCTTCTGCACTTCATGAGAAAATACTGAAAATGTTCACGATCCGAAAAAGCAGCCAAATTATCTCGGATGCGAAGGCCGCCATCTTGTGGTGATGACGTAGTTTGCAGTCAGAGTCTGTGCAGGTGCGATCATGGAGCTGTGGTATCGAGGTCACTCCCACACAGGCTCTTGACCAATCAGCAGTGACCAGTATATAAACCCTAACGACAGAGCATCCAGCGTATTTGATCAAACATTAAATTCATCTACCTCCAAAGTTTTCCTCCATGAGAGCGACAGGAATGATCTCCTCAGCTGCCGTAGTTACGACGCTAACACAACAGAGTTCTCAACGCATCAACGTTAATGTTTAAATAAAGGTTATTCTATGTTTAGTCTGAGCTGAACGCAGCCGACTGAACCTCTGCGTTAACACAACTCCCTGTGGACACGTGTCTTTACATCATCATTTAGCTGTTGGACGAGGACAACGTTCATTTGTAGACCTGAAGACGGATCACAGACGCTCAGATCAGCTGTAAACAGCTTCACTCTGAGAAAGGAGCGTTTGTTTTCGGGCAGGTAACGTCTGCAGCTCTGAGCCCCGGAGGAATGTGGAAGCTGTTACAGCGAAGTCTGAGGTGAACAGAGCTTTTCAAACACAAAGTGTGCAGCTGCCCGAGTCGGGAAATGATCCTGATGGGACAGAGCAGGCGGACAGACGCTGAGCAAACACCTCTGGTAGGGATGAAGAACTCAGCTGATCTGTTTGTCCAGAGACTGAAGGTGTTTGAATAAAAAGACGAGACGAGAGCTTATCTCTGTCACACTGAGAGAGAGAGAGAGAGAGAGAGAGAGAGAGAGAGAGAGAGAGAGAGAGCCGACAGGTGCCGATCACCTCACTTTAATAAAAGTATCTTTAACCCACAGCGAATGAAATACATGTTAAAAACCAGCTGCTGCTTCCACAGACTGAGCTACATGCTTCCAGCACGCTAACACAGAACAGGAGGTTATGAACTGTGACATCACTAAAGTCATGACGACGACCTTCAG